TTAGTGTGACCAACAAGACCGCCTATCACGGTGTTAAGACTTACTACGCTCGTTGAAGTAACTACGCAGTGAATGCGGCTTGCTTTTTTGTTTTCTATCAGGTCGAGACGCTGTCACAATGCGTTTCAATTTGGTTGGCTGAATGAGCGAGAATACGTGCTATATTCGGATAGACAAGGCAGTGTACGTGTGGAGTGGGCTTTGGAATTGTTTTCGAGCCAGCCGGTCACACTTTGGTAGAATAGCCGTGCTGTAATATTATCAGTAGATGCATATTGGCTTAGCCTGATTTCGTGTACTGTAGCATGAAAGACTCACGCGTCAATTTCTCTCTATCTCAGTAATAAGTAAGAATCTTGTAGTCAAACATGGCCCCCGTCAATGATACTGAGTGCTGTGGTAAATTTTATTATAATTGAACTAGCGAGATAAAAAGGCTTGTAGCAGATCCACTGGTAGCGCAGACTTCGTACTGGGTGTACAATCTGCATGGAGCCGAAAGGATCTTGATGAAAATGGTTCACAATCATGCCGGATTACTCAACGTAGTGCCTGAGCCGTTGAAGGACTATCTCAGGGCTACTTTGTAAGTATTTCAGGGTTGCTTCAACCATAGAAAATTCCAAATGTCTGTGCAGCATTACAACGCCAGGGTACAGATGTGAAACATTCTTCAGACCACTGAGCTTCTCTAAGTATATGCATCCATTTAGACAACACGGTGCATTGCAAACAAACTACTCCGTTCGCTCGAAATTCAACCTAACTATCAGACTCACCGGACTATACCGTTGGTGAACAATCTTGCTCAGATCAACGCTGCCAATGTACTACCATTGTCCTGAATTTCTTGTCACACAGATATCAGACTGACTGGAGACGAACATTCATTTATCGAAACGCAGCCCCCATGCGACCTGTTTTTACCATCCTGCCTTTCTTTCCCATTCGGCCTTCTTTCCTATCCGGCCTCTTGATTACTTAACATCCTACTATTTGCCTTTCCTTCTCTCATACCGGCAGTCACGGTTGATATGAGCCTGCAGCCAAAGCTCAAACGCAGAGTCGGACGCCCAGTTCACCAAAAAGCCCGCAGGAGGAGAAAGACCCTTTTCAAAAAGGCGTTTGAGTACAGCTCGGAATGCGATGCCGACATCCATCTTGTTATTCGAATGAGACAATCGGGGAAGATATTCATCTTGACTTCCAATTCAAAACATTGGCCTCTTTCACAAGATCAGTTAGTAAGTTCCCGTTCGTTATCCCTTTCATCTCTATGAAGGTATTGACCCGGCCAAGAACTCTCATCATCCTGCACCAGTTCAAAAAATGTTGAGTAACTCAGAATCCAAGGTGTAGGACTTTCTCACTTTTTCAACAAATGTCAATCACGATTATGGGGGGACTGAAACAGGAAGGCGCCTTTTGGCGGCAGTCTTAGCTGCAAATAGTTTGAAATGAGCAAAAAGACACATTCTCTATAGCGTTGTACTTTGCCGTAGTTTTGATAGTACTCTATAACGATCTGCAAGTCTTAATTCAATCTATCACTGTGCCATATTTAAATCCATGGGTTCACTTCACAAGCGTGGAACCGCCATTCCCCTACCATAGCTCAACAAAGACACCATCCAACATGGTCTGAGGGGAACGCATCATAGTTAACCTGTCCCTAACAGACTGGCCTGGTAGTTGCGATCATACCTATCCGTCACGGAATCCAAGCTCGCTGCTCCATCGTCGATGAGGTCACATTGACCTGGCATTCTTCGTTGTCGGAATGCTCAAACGTCAAACTTTGGGGAAAACTCAGATAAAGTCAATTCTAGCGCCGGCAAAATTTCGGATGATCCAGCTTGATGTGTGTCTGTCTGGCACTCAGAAATACGTCGTGAGTATGACGTGTCTCCTGGGGGTGTCATACACTCGCTGGACGTCTCGCGTCGCGCTCCCTGCTTTCTTTTGAAGCAAGTCGGGAATATACGACGATCTGGTACCTCTCCCTGGGCTGCAGGCCGCAATTCCGTCGTCGATGCCGTAGCTGACTGCGGAAGAAGCTTATTAAACAGGTTCCGTCCACTCGATCGCCGCCGCTCCCCGGATTCACGCTGACAGGTACAGGAGCGAAGCAGTGAAGTAAGACGGTTGAGTACAGAAAACTCTAACTTCAGCTTGATGCTGTATACCACCGTCTTGAAGCTCACTTGAATGTAGTGAAGCTTGTATTCTGTGACGAGGAGCAGGACGTTGAGAAACACGACAAGAATGTTGATCCAAAGTAAATGAATGATGGCACTGCGACTGTTCTGACCACGAATAGTGCTGATCTTCTTGAAAGTGAGAGTTGATTCGTATACATAAATGCTGCAGATGATGAAATCTTGCACACAAAAGGCCGTCAGCTGGATTCGGTCGAAGATTGCGGCAGGGCGAGCGAGACGTGCGTCGCCGTTGTTGAGGCCGAAGAAGAGAACGGTCATTGGAATGTGTAGGATGCAGGCGTTGATAATGATCATCCACAAAACGCAACGCCGCGTCCTCACGTTGGAGACAACAAAGTGCAGACGCGAGTACAGTACAATGGCTTGGCCGGTGACCATAGCATACCATCCGATCACGAAGGGGACTGACGTCGCGATGTTGGATGCTTGTGTTAGAAAGCGAGCCATGGCAGGAAGAGCATGCAGAACGATCCCCCAGGATGCGACCTGGATACTCCAGAAATACAGGCTGCGGTAGCCTTTGAACGCATCAAACGCGACGATTCCTGTTTCTAGACCATTGTACGCGCCGATTGAGAACATGGACACGATCTGAATGATTGAGATATTATCCATCAGGATGGTGCCCACTGTTGGAGGCAGGCTGGTTATGACTGTGTCCATGGTCTTCTCAGTGTACAAAGAGTATACTGTAGGAAATGTTATGGATGGGATCTGTGGCGGGCTTAAATAGCTTCATTTAAACCCGGCATGTGAATAACCTTGCAATGAAATCATCACACTGTTGCAAGTCATATCCTGGAAAGTTCTAAAGTTCTTAGAACCCGCACAGTATGAGTTATAACTCTACACCCCTAGGTACGTTGAATTGGATGGGTAGGTCCACAGCAGAGTTATCTATGCCGTAGCTCCAGGCATGATTGATCCTCGATCCTCGTCCAGTCGTTTTGATGGGAGAGTATTTGTTCCAGCCAGTACTATAATGGCAAGATCTCGCGCAGCTGGAACAAAGGTTCCTTTCCATTCAAGTCATACCGAAGGTTAGTTTTATGACGACCGTGGAACGCAGAGCAGGATCCACGGTCAGTGGCGAATGTCAAATATCGTGACAAATTCTTTGTGTGAATCATGGAACGGTGCGTGCGGTGGTAGACAGCAATGATTCATGAAATTAGGATTTAAGCTTCCTCCTAGTCAGATTGTCTCTCTTCTTTTGCTCCATTTTCCAGATCTATTATGAATATGGCTGCTACTACAGTCTAAATGGATTTACTGAGAAAAATGATCCACGCTTATGAAAACTTCGGCTATAATCGCATATTCTACGGTTTAAGGACCACAATCGTGTTTTTTTGAAGATTGTTGGCCGCGCAACCACGCGTATAACGGACGATAAGAAGGATGCACAAAAAGTAAGCTTTCGGACCATATGAAGCTCGGGCCCACAACGCCGGCTGGTGCCAGTTCTAAAGTCTATCGGTTCATCGGCTTTGAGAACAAAACCCGGCGGACGAGATGTCTACATAGACGTTTCTGGTCCGTCTTGTATTAGCATAACCACATCTAAGCTCTATTAGTGCTACTGGATCAGCCAGGAAATTGGGGCCATGGTAGGAGAGGATCTACCCAGCAGTGAGGAATATACGTATTTGGGATGGCCGGTGCCGACAGAAATAAGTCTTTGCTAGAATGCCCGAGAGATCAGACAGACGATGGGGTGGAAGCTTGGCAATCGATAGATGATCGAAGGGTTGCAGGAAACTATGACCACATATTCTTTGGCATATACTTCCCTTCTGGAAACACCGTGTAATACTGCGAGTACCTCATCTACCCAAATCATACCTCTTAAGCAACAAAGGCCTTCACGCGCACGGCAACAGCCCATCAATTTTGGGGCCTGTGGATCGTGTCTGGACTTTTACAGGTCCTTCGAATTTCTTCAGCAAGCCAAGTTAGCACCTCCTTAATTTACTGTCCCATGGGTCACTCCAGGTATTTTTCTTTTCGAAATGTACCAGCATCCGTCCACATCCATGCCAATTGTTGATTGGTCCGTTGAGTGTTTCTTTTGTCCATGGTCTCCTCGGGAACATGATAATAGCGTTGCAATCTCCTGGACGGGTGGCGATCGACAAGGGGGCCAATCGTGAGCCGTGGTAGCTGGAATGGACTTTATGATTATTCTGTAGACCAGGGTTTGGTTATGTCGACGTTGGAACTGTGAAGAACTTCGACCCCCTTTGCAATAACAGCATACATCAATCAGGGCCAAGGGACTGGATTGTTTTTATCAATCAGATAACGACATTAATGTGAAATTTCACACTTTAATGTGAAATTTCACGAGATAGATTCATCACACTATATCAAAGTGCAAAGAGAATCCAAGCCAGTATCAACACACCACTGATTGCATAGGGTAATGCGGGCCGGCCGATCACTTTCTCCACAATGGACTGGCAGCACTTTCTCTTGTCCCTTTCCTCTTCTCTCGTAATTTTAATTTCTATTTCTCACTTCGTGCTAGGATCCCGTGGGGTCCATTGTGCACAATAATCACTTGGCCTTTCTGCTCAGGGTCCAGATGCTGGCAAACAAAGTTTTCCCAAAGGGCACAGCGTTTTCATTTCGTTTCAGATCATTTGCTTTTGGTTCCACCAAGACCTTTAAAGAGTTTGTTCCCCATACTGTAGAAATTATGCGAACAATCATTTTCTTTAATCTCCCCGAATTTTGCTCGAAACAACGATAACTCCTCAACCACAAGGACTCATCATGACAAATGACTCGAAATCTTCTCGGGGTACTGGTCGTGGTGCAGGTCGTGGTGCTACCAAGGCAAAGCCTCGTGTTGTCGGTTCGCGCGCTGGCTCGCCCGGCTCTGTTCGGTCGACAACTACCACGTCCAAGCTGGGCCGTAGCCCTGTCAGCCCAGTAGCGAAGCTACACAAATGCCAGGTGTGCCACTCTTCTATCGCTTGTTTTGTATCTTTTGTACAGATATTATACGATTATCTTGCATCATGTTCTTTTGGCTGACAAGCTTTCCAGGGACAATCTATGACGAACACCACCCGTAAGAAAGATCATGTGGCGACACATGGCCAATGTTTGGATGTGATGGACCAAGTTCAAAAAGAGTTTGAACAAGCTCTCCAGAAGATGGACGACGAGAGAGCCCATGAGTTCCAGGCAATGCAGCGTCTACATGAAGAAAAAGCTCGGGAGACTTCAAAACTGCAGCAGGCTATCACGGCAAAAGACAAAGTCTTGGAGGAGAATCAGAGGCTTGAAAAAGAACTCTGCCGAATGAAGCAGCAGCAGGAGTCGCTTGAGGCCACCAGACAGGATCAGGTCTCGTGGAACGATATTCAGCCGATCTTGCGCCAGACGCACGGTGAGCTGCTATCGGCCACCACCCAGCTCTGGAACACAATCGATGCTCTGCAGAGTGGAAGACCGGTGCCTTTCTTGCCTGGCTCTGAAGTAATGCACGGAACTTGGCCCAACCAGAACGCCACGCTTGAGAATTTGGGAAACAATGCTCTACCTGGGTTCTCCACGTCGAGTAACTACCCATTTACTCAGCAAGTGGCAACGCCAGCCAACCAGTATGAATCGGTTGTGTGAATCATGGTAGATGAATGGCTTGGATAGTCTTGGCTATGGCGGAACTGGATAGTCAAATTCAGATAATCACCACGCAGACAGATAGCTCAGTGTATAATCTCTAGCAACACCACCGCCATTCCAATTGAAAACATATCTTTACATTGATATTGCTACAATAGAACGAATCTTGGTTCAAGAACAAAATTAGCCATTCAGAATTTCGCTCTGCCAGTTGGAAAAGAATGCGCGGGGCGCTAAATTTGGTTATCAGCAGGACCCGTAGCCCGGGTGAGCCATGATCGTCCGGTACGACTGGAAATGATCGCCAGGCCATTAAACTTCCGAAAATCTTAGTTGGTGTTATATCGTATCAAGTTGCGACTCCAGCCTGCCTGGGCAAAAGGGTCATCTCGTCGCCCTGAAGTTCTGTCGACGCTATCCGTTCTGCTCCGCCGCGCTGCGATTCCCCATTGAAGTGAGACTCTGCCGGGGTGAAATAATCGTTCGCAAAGCACAACGGCATAATAATACTTCAGCCAACGAGGGCTGACATGTCACTCTAGGCAATAGACTTAATTTCATCATATTCAAGTAGGAATTACTGCTGTGACCGAAGTGTTCGTCTAATTGTATCACCATCCGTGGCCTGCTCCTCTCCTTCTTTGGCCCTCATTCTAATAGCCGTCTCCAGAACCGCCAGTCGACGGATGGTATCTTCCAGATCATTGCGAATGGTTTCAATCCAGCTGTTCTGGTTATTCAATGAGTTCCGCATGGATCTGGAAATAATCAGTGTTTGTTGCGTGTCTAGAAGATCGCACGACTGACTTTGTTCGGGCATCTAATCTGAATAGTGTGAGCAGACACATCACGAGAAGCATTGCAGGGAAGCGGATGATGACTCACTCTGCGAGACATTGGAAGGCAATCATGTTGGAGTCCTCGGAGAGTTCCTGTCCGGGCTGTTCTAGTTCTTCTTCTGGTCTCGGGTCCATCTTCCAGGTGTGCAGAGGACTTTCCTGTCTATCATCCGCTGTGGTTTCGTTACGGTGATTGTGAGAAGAGTCATCCTCCTGAGAACACTCGTCCTCCGTCGTATCCCCCGCCGCAGATCTAGGCAGACTCCAGATATCTTCTGATTCGGTGGATGACAGGGACAGCGCACGCTGTAATCGTTTCCGAAAGCTTTGTGGTTGATCGATGAAAGGAAGTTTTCGAGTTCTACCCATGCTGGATACAACCTTAAGGCGAGATAAGTGTTCCTGGTAGTATGTTATGGAAGGTTTTATAGACTTTCATGAGGAGTTTGTTCTTCAAAACGGACTTTGCGATTGGATTTGCAAAGCCCAAGATCTATATCCGTCTTTACCGTAGTTCTCATTTGATTTGGAATGTTTCCACCCAATCATTATCGAAAGACAATAGACTCTAGGGGATATGACTTTATCTGAAGGCAAATTATTTGTCTACAAAGTCTATTTGATGTTACATTGCTCAATAGCCGGTGGGGCTGGGTCTGATTATTACTATCTTCATTCAAACAGTCACAAATTTCAAAAAAGAAACCTCTAACAATATAACGATAGAATGTAGTCGCCTTAATAGAGCGACATTCGTCGAACGCTGGGGGTCTGACTGATTGTGAAATACAGAGTCAATGCGTCAGAACTCAGAATGACCGAATCGGCTTTCAGAGTAGGTAGTCCATGGGTTTATTTTACAAGCTTTAGAAGGTTTTTGATGAACCAAGAGTACTATCTCAGCTGTTACAGTAACTGGGCCCTGCAAGAGATTATGGCTTACATTTCCCACCCATGGGGAGTCCAAATCGAGTCATTGTGTCAAAGGGTCTCTTGACCGCGGAACATGAGCGGGATCTTCAATAAATCGCGGAACCCTAAGTCGAATTTCGATGAACCATGGAAACGCTCACTCGGAGATGAAATACGGATGTCATGCAGAATTCAAGCTTGTGCTGTTGCCCCACTTGCTTTCTCGGTTGCTGTAATCAAGCCTTGCAGCCCAAGAGAGAGGAATCGAGAACTGGGGAATGCTAACACATTGCCTTTGTATATAATAGCGCTTTTTGTAAAACGCATTACTGTATCAACAGGAGTCTCTAATCGGCGTCATGATCGAGATGCGCAGAGTGCTTGAAATGAAGTTTCGGGCCCGTAAGAGAGCTCATAACGCCAAGGGCCAATCGGTTCCCTGCTTTTCGGTGCAAAACCGGAGACATCCTTACATAAACTCGTGGGAAGATATCAGATTGACGACACAATTGGGTAGATGGAGAGGGTGGATCGGGCTTGGTGAGCGTATGAGAATCAGAGGAAGGGCAGGACGGATACATAGCTTCTAGAACATTCTACAGACCAGATAGACAAGTAGCAACTTACCACTTGACTGGAGAGTTTATTCTCCTGTGACAGCAACCAGGAAAACATGACCACGTGTCTGATTTAACCAGAATTCTTGTAATATTCCAAATACTCCTCCCTTGACGGTTCCTCAATTGCACCCACTAAGCAACAAACCTTGGTTCCGTCGGGCGCTGACGGCCGCCAGATTTGGGCCTGTGGATCGTGTCTAGACTTTGGCAGATCCTCCCAACGTCTTCTCCAGACCACGAATAAAACCGCCTTGATCGACCGTCCCGTGGCTCATCACTGGGATTATATCGCAGAACCATACCTGCGTCTGTCTAAATCCGTGTGCGCTGTTTGATTGGTCCGTCTGGTGCTGTTCATCTTCAGGGTCCCAACAATGTGATAATAGCGTTGCAATCGTGCGACAGGTGGCGATCACGAGAGCTTCGCGGTGAGCCTTGGTTGAAAGAGTGTACGTGGTTGTCCTGGAGCATAGGCACTGTTTCATTTGTGTGCTCGTGAATACGGCCAAGACTTTGATTATTGTCCCCAAAGCCTACATGGCTGATTGATATGTACGTTCTAGCAGGGTGGTATCTGGCTTTCCGCAGACCAACCCATATGGCAGGGACAATTCAAAGCAAGCATTAAGTACTTCAGCAAGCAAGATAGAAATCATTGTCGACGTGTAGACATCACAAGAAGACAAAACGCTTTCCGGCTTCTCACATCATATGTAGATCATTTCGCTGACAGGGCCTTCAAAAGAGACGCGCTTTTTGTGACACCGTTCTTTTGGTCCGTAAAGGGACGAGACAAGCACGTTCTGGAGGATTGCAACTCACGCTTGAGAACGTCCAAGTGTGCAGTGAGACTTTTCGGCGTGATTGAGCGCCGCAGATCCTTGTTCTTTCTCGCCCTGTATCCATCTGTCAGCGAATCTCTTGTATATGAAATCAGATTGTAGAATCTGAAATCGAAGTAAATGAGGCAGGGTAGGCAAAAAGCATGCGAGGACTGTGTACTAACTTCATTCACCTGGAAGGTCTGAAAATGGTTGGTTAGAACATTGCAGTCGATGAAGCACACGATAATGGAGGTGGTCACTTACTGCGTGATGGAATATGCGCGGCTGGGCTGGCTGCCCGATGGATGATCGACTGTCAGTGATTCTTGACTATTTTTGATTGACTCTCCGAAGCGGCGCTCGGTCCGAAGTTGATTCTCTCTGCCGGCTGCTACTCCCTCAGTTTTGATCTGCATGGAGGCAGCGGATTCGGATTGGCATTCATTCCCAGTCCGATAGCGAAGATTGTGTTCTTCCAGCATTTCAGAACTTGTGCAGTAGATTTTCGAGGCTGGTGCTACCGACTTCGATGATCCGCATGCAACACGTCAGTAGTTCTAGGAGTCTGTCAGAATTGGCAAGAAAAACAACCCTTTTTCATGAGTGAATGAACTTTGACAGAACACCAACTTTATTTTGTATTTCAAGCGCGCTAGGGAGTTCATTGAAAGGATTGCTAGGCGAAAGAAACGTTGCCTCTGTGGCACTGTTAGCCAAACAATTGCGGACAGGGTTTGAACACAAAAGATGTTGAACTTCCACATATGTGCGTCCATGGGAACCGACGGTGTTACTTCATGGCGAAGCGAGCCCACGGGCACGATCAAGCGTGAACATCGCTCAGAAAGTCCAGAGCATTATTTTACCAATATCGAAAGTTTCAATCATCTTCCACAAGACTCTGACTCATAGCCGGACTAGGTGCCACCCTGTTGAGCGATTTAATTGCAATTTCAACGATGTGTAAGACTGATATTCTTGCGGTGTGGCTCTCTTCTCAACAGTTGATGAACGTTGTTCACCACACTCAACGTTGTTCACCACACTCAACGCAGAATTTTGAGAGACATGATTGCAGGACAACTCTTGACTCTGTAGGCCACAAGAACCCCTTTCAACGTCGTTCATATTGCGTCAACACCTATCAAATGCGCCATTCTCGTTACCATCTGCGCATGTGGTTCCTTGGAAGAGACGTAGCCGAAAAGTTATAAATGAGGCCCAATTCCCAGCCCAAAAAAATCAGGACTTCAGTACTCACACTCCGATGTGTCACGGTGTCCCTCTTGCCTACGGGCTTGAGGGTCTCCATGACCACGGCTTTCGCTGCCACGAGCCCAGCGATGTAAGACTTGTGCTCCCTCACAGCCAATGAGCCCTGTGATTGTAAAAATGTGCTCCCTCACAGCCAATGAGCCCTGTGATTGTAAAAATGTGCTCCCTCACAGCCAATGAGCCCTGTGACTGTAAAAATGTGCTCCCTCACAGCCAATGAGCCCTGTGACTGTAAAAATGTGCTCCTTCACAGCCAATGAGCCCTGTGATTGTAAAAATGTGCTCCCTCACAGCCAATGAGCCCTGTGACTGTAAAATGTGCTCCCTCGCTCCCTGAGCCCCGCGAGTGTAAAAATGTGCTTCGCAGGATAGGTCTGCATCAACAATATGCCTCGCAGGGGGTGCTGCGTCAACAAGACTACCCCGCAGGATAGGTCTGCGTCAACAACAATCCTCGCAGGGGAGCGCTGCGTGAACAGGGACCTCCGCAGGGACATCTGCGACACCAAGAGTCTCCGTAGGGACATCTACGACACCAAGAGTCTCCGCAGGGACATCTGCGACACCAAGAGTCTCCGCAGGGACATCTGCGACACCAAGAGTCTCCGTAGGGACATCTACGACACCAAGAGTCTCCGTAGGGACATCTACGACACCAAGCTCTCCCTCACAGCCTTGAGCCCTGTGACTGTATAATCTTGAGCTTCCATGCAGCCTTGAGCCCTGCGTTATCAAATTTGTGCTTGTTTAGGCGCCCCGTGGCGCCGCGGTGCCACTCCTGCTCCTCTGACGATGTGCAGGCACCTCTTCGTGGTGTCAGAGACTAGTATTCGAATTTGCAACAGCATTCGATGAAGCCAAGACCTGCCCAACATCTTCATAATCTGTATCGTGCTGCAAAGCACCATAGCATAGACAATCAATCACCAACTCAATCTAAGCTGGGATTCCTCGTTAGCGACCCGTATTCCCACTCTGTATGTCTTTTCCGCAGTCGATGATCCGTTTGCTGCAACGTAAAGTCGCATGATTTGGGTGTAGCACACATAGCGATGTTGTGTTGTGATGCTGTTTCGGTAGGATGTTTGTTATGCCAGTGTGAAGTGAAAGTAGAGATTTAGAGCTTGTGTGTTGACGTGTTGACGTGTTGACGTGTTGACGTGTTGATGTTGATGTCGGTGTGGTGAAACGTGCAGTGATCGGGCGGTGAAGGGACGTGGGGTGGTGATCAACGCACATGCAGATTCGTCACGCTCCGCTTGTTCGAGAAAGCCACACTGGTGCGCAGGGCAAGTTCGCAGGACAAAAAACGCGGGTGACGAACCTATCTGTTTTATGATTGTACAATCGTATTGGAGGACTCCGTCGTTCAGTGTGCGAAGGCGGTGAGATTTCTCATGAATGAACAGTTTCTTAGTCACATCTTAATTGAGGCCTATTGAAACCCATCTCTAGTATTTACTGCAAGTATTCGAAGCGAAACCTTTGTACTGTGCATTCGCTTTACATATGCCATTCTCAGCTCTCAGATCTATTTCTGGGCGTCGTTCTATGATTTATGGGCTACTAGTAGGGAGCCAAGGGCAGATGCGGATATATATCATTGATGTCTCGCTGGGACTACGCATGTGTGACGTGAACATGGTCAACCAGCCTCGTCAACAGTCGCAGAGATTGCCTCCATGAGTATATTAATGTCACTGAAGACCCGAGTAAACCAACGTGCTATGCGCTACCAGCCGGCTATGAAGCTCTGATGCTCGAAAAATGACGCAGCACCGGTTCCTGCACGAGCCTTTGTAGACGACCTACATGATCTGCCTATCACGCAATTGGCCATGCCAGTTGAGCACATAATAGGAATGTGACACGTGAGGCCAAGAGTATTGATTTGGGCTCTGGTCACCACGCCGCTACGAGGATGTGGGTCCCTAGCCCTTCGATCTTTACGAGCCACGTATGTATGTCATGTAGGTTTGGTTTTGATGTACAGAAAGGCGTTGTCTTACCAGAAAGGCAGAAGCGCATGCTCTGATTCCGTTCCAAAGCGCCCTCGAGCCGGGGGGCGGGGTCCCCCAGAGACCCCTTTTATGGGGGTCGGCGAGGCAATTTCCAATTGCCGGGGGTGCCCCCCAAGGCGACGGGCAAGATGCGTTGATCCATGGACTAGTTTGTCGCACCGACCGTTCACATTTGCATGACACTGCTTTAGAATAGTGGACTCAATTTCAATTCCAGCACCAGCACAATTTTCTGTTTTATCAACAATGGGAGGCCGTATTGTGCCCATTGAGTGCACTGAGCACGATCAACACACCGACGGCCTCGTTTCTAGTACGACACACTCCTCACATTTGCTTCTATTGCCGACAAGTCCCGTTGTAAGGCCTACTGAACCAGTATTAAAGGACATAACTTATCAGAGAAAAGGTGGCCCTAAGATCCTAGCACAAACCAGATTCAAGGCGCCATACGCTGCACGTCATGCTCGATGCTTTGCTCAAGGCAGCACACCCAGTGCAGAGTAATCCACAGAATGAGATATCACAAACCATTGTAGTGGCATGATGGTTTCTTGGGACGGCCTAGGTCTACCGCCATTTCACGCCTGGTTCTTCAGTATCATGGAGCAGACACCATTGTCATGAACGATCTGAGTATCCCGTAGTGGTTGCCACGGAGGAGAGCCTTGAAGTGGGTCAAAGCGTCCAGCGTCAACGACAGCTCGTCGTACGGAGGGAGGAAGGTGATACTACTTTTCGTGTATCATACAAGAGATGGGAAGGCGCCCAAGATTTACACGCAGTAGGATCACATGACAGAGTGAACGACGGGATCTCAACGGACAGGAAGAGGTGCATCACGGGCGGCGAACATATGATTCATGGAAATGAACGCGATAGGATAAGACTCGAATCCCAATCATAAAGTGTGAGAATTGGCGGAGACGGGAGCGATTGGACAGATGTGACAAAAAAACGGCAGGGATAGGAGTCTTGCCCGTCGCCTTGGAGGGCACCCCCGGCAATTGGAAATTGCCTCGCCGACCCCCATAAAGGGGGTCTCTGGGGGACCCCGCCTCCCGGCTCGAGGGCGCGTTAAAGCTGAACCAGAATTTTCGCTGCAACGCCTCTCACAAAGAACGGGGTCTGTCCCCGCAGCCTTGAGAAGTTCATGGCCGCTACGTAGAGCAAAATGTGAGCTTTCCGAACGAGATGAGCAGTCATATGCTCTCCCTCTAGAACTTGATGGTCAGATATTCCGATGTCCATGCGTTGACGGAGCGTGACTGAGCCCGCATTTAGTCTCCATGCTCGTATGCCTTCGGCTCAAAGGACGATTTGTAGGGCCCATCAAGGTTGAGGTGAACACCGTATGCCTCGCTGGATGTGCAGGTATTTGTCCTGTATAATCTCCTTAAGGTCTTGGTATCGCCTCGTCTCGATCACGGAGTTCAGTCGGAGTATGGAGACAGCATCAACTGCTGCAGATGTCCATACCATCAGGCAGAATAAATACCCACGCCACAAGGCTATCGGCTTTTCCTTGTAGGTCTTCAAATTCCGAGCGACAGACTGCTATGCACTCCTTCGGGTCTAGATCAGATAGGCATAACAACTGACCTGATGAATCAATCGACTCAAAGGTCGAGGTGGGGACTCGTTTGTGCCAGCAATAGTTTTGTAGAAGGGACAGGCCATGTAATGGTAACGGCAAGGCCGAACAGACACGCAATTTCCTCGCTTCGCATTCGACTCATGGGAATCCGAGGGTTGCCTGTAATCAGATCAGAGTCAGCCAGTGTTGATTCAGTTGGACGAGGCAATGTACTTTACGTTGTTGATGAAGACGTCCCTGGTGATCGACGGTATGCTTCAGACAGTCGGTCAATCACGATCGTCGTCATACAGCGATTTTCGAAAACAGTTTACCCTTGGTCTCACACTTTGTTTCTCGTCCCGTACCCGACACAACGCTAGTCCCGATCCGTCAATGAAACTCATCTGTAATTGGACAATATCTTAACACTTGTACCAATAAGGCTCAACTTGTTTCGGGTACGGGCCGACAAAGAGAGTCCGAGTGTATGAGGGGGTAAACTGTTTTCGAAAATCGCTGTACCCATGTCTCTTGTGCAACGCTGTCATCAATATGCCGCGTTGTATCCAATCAGTTTGTTTGGGAAGCCACACTGAGTGTATAGGGC